ATGAAAACAATACTATCGTCTATTTTTGTCTCGATTTTAAACTGTCTGGGAATCTTTAACATATAACTAATGACATACACGGGCCATTGTTTTTTTTATCCATCCAAACAATTAAACACTTTTATTTACCTGGCCCTCCCTCCCTTGAACCAGGTACTTACGATAAGCAAACGAGCATCATACTCACCTGTGCTACAGGTTGTAAAACACTGTTATCACTCGAATCATTCATCCTGACGTCCTCTAATGTCGTGTAATTCAACTTTCCTATCATTTGAACTTATAAAATAGCGTAATTGCCAGTGTAATTCTTAAACAATAGACCCGTTAATATTCCACAAGAAAAATCAATTGTTGGAAGACAATTATGGTGGAGCAAAGACTAGTTCAGCAGTAATATACTTACATATACCACAGAACATAAATAATTTATACAAACAAGTTGTGTCAAATCCAAACATCCAGACACTCAACAGCTTTCTCACAACTTTAAACATCCAGACGTTTGACAGTTCTCTTACAACCTAATTGAGGGGTACGGTGGTCAAATGGTCTGAAATTGGGTTTAATGTCCTAATTTTCAAGCCAAATTATGTTAGGGAGAGAAGGGAAATAGGGTTTTAACATCCTCACGACACAAACTTTATGGTTCAACACCTGGATTAACGCGGGGACCTCCAGGTTACCGACTCTCAACAGCTCTGTCACAACTTTAAACATCCAGCCGCTCGACAGTTCTCTTACAACCTAATTGAGGGGTACGGTGGTCAAATGGTCTGAAATTGGGTTTAATGTCCTAATTTTCAAGCCAAATTATGTTAGGGAGAGAAGGGAAATAGGGTTTTAACATCCTCTCGACACAAACTTTATGGTTCAACAACTGGATTAACGCGGGGACCTCCAGGTTACCGACTCTCAACCGCTCTGTCACAACTTTAAACATCCAGCCGCTCGACAGTTCTCTTACAACCTAATTGAGGGGTACGGTGGTCAAATGGTCTGAAATTGGGTTTAATGTCCTAATTTTCAAGCCAAATTATGTTAGGGAGAGAAGGGAAATAGGGTTTAACATCCTCTTGACACAAACTTTATGGTTCAACAACTGGATTAACGCGGGGACCTCCAGGTTACCGACTCTCAACAGCCCTCTCACAACTTTAAACATCCAGCCGCTCGACAGTTCTCTTACAACCTAATTGAGGGGTACGGTGGTCCAATGGTCTGAAATTGGGTTTACTGTCCTATTTTTCAAGCCAAATTATGTTAGGGAGAGAAGGGAAATAGGGTTTTAACATCCTCTCGACACAAACTTTATGGTTCAACACCAGGTTACCGACTCTCAACAGCTCTGTCACAACTTTAAACATCCAGCCGCTCGACAGTTCTCTTACAACCTAATTGAGGGGTACGGTGGTCAAATGGTCTGAAATTGGGTTTAATGTCCTAATTTTCAAGCCAAATTATGTTAGGGAGAGAAGGGAAATAGGGTTTTAACATCCTCTCGACACAAACTTTATGGTTCAACAACTGGATTAACGCGGGGACCTCCAGGTTACCGACTCTCAACAGCTCTGTCACAACTTTAAACATCCAGCCGCTCGACAGTTCTCTTACAACCTAATTGAGGGGTACGGTGGTCAAATGGTCTGAAATTGGGTTTAATGTCCTAATTTTCAAGCCAAATTATGTTAGGGAGAGAAGGGAAATAGGGTTTAACATCCTCTTGACACAAACTTTATGGTTCAACACCTGGATTAAAGCGGGGACCTCCAGGTTACCGAGACAGTGTCTACTCACTGATCCACTGCGGCGCCCGGACAGGTAGATGCAGCTACATAATCCAGTGTTCACTTGACAGGAACTATGTCATTATGGGACTAACATATGGTTCCATTTTATTTCTATAATTTGCTTGCACGTAGTAGCTGTCTGCGGAAACCAGACGACCTGAAAACCCATGCGGTTAGACAGGTAACACTACTCCTTGTCACGTAGAAGCTGGGAATCGAACCTTCGCCACTTGACTCAATGACAGACCTTGTGATCTAAAGGCCATGTATTAAACAATTTGGCCACCCAACCCCACACAGGAAGTGGTATAACGTGGTGTGGGTATATCAAACTATGTGATATAACGTTGATGGGGAATCAAAAGGATCGTATCTGGATTTTGCGAAATTGTCCAGGAGAGCCAAAAATAGCACAGAGGTTAAGAATCAAAATGTTTTATGTAAAATGTTGTATTTCTGAAGCTTTTCTCAAATATTTATGTACAAAATGTAACTATCCACATATATCAAGCTCAACATCTAGTGCAGAAATAAGGAGTGAAAGTTAGTTATTTGCAATTTTATCTCAGAAAACAATTCACCTTTACCTGCTTCAATTTCACAGATTTCACATAGTAGAGGCTCAACAATAATTTCAATAATACGTATTTAACCATAAAACAACACTGGCTATATTTCGTTTGATTGTGATGCTTTGATTAAACTCAAAGTTGATTTTTTCAAGAAAATACAACATTTTCCCTCTTAATAATTTTTTTTTTTTGGAACACCCCATATACAACATTTTGAAACAGTATCTATAAAACCTCTTATTATTGGCTTAGAAATACGACAAACAGATGAAAAGATCCGCAAGAAATTCTCATTCTGAAGAAGCAAAAAAGCGATTTTGCAAATTATGCCAGATACGACCTTTTGACTCACCATCGACGATAAACTATGTTAATATGACAAGAGAAAGGAGGATGTGGTATAAGATGGTCTGGGTGAGGATGTGGTATAAGGTGGTCTGGATGAGGATGTGGTATAAGGTGGTCTGGGTATATCACACTATGTTAATATGAACTATGTTAATATGACAAGAGAAAGGAGGATGTGGTATAAAGTGGTCTGGGTGAGGATGTGGTATAAGGTGGTCTGGGTGAGGATGTGGTATAAGGTGATCTGGGTGAGGATGTGGTATAAGGTGGTCTGAGTGAGGATGTTGTATAAGGTGGTCTGGGTGAGGATGTGGTAAGAGGTGGTCAGGGTGAGGATGTGGTATAAGTTGGTCTGGGTGAGAATGTGGTATAAGGTGGTCTGGGTGAGGATGTGGTATAAGGTAGTCTGGGTGAGGATGTGGTATAAGGTGGCCTGGGTGAGGATGTGGTATAAGGTGGTCTGGGTGAGGATGTGGTATGAAGTGGTCTGGGTGAGGATGTGGTATAAGGTGGTCTGGGTGAGGATGTGGTATAAGGTGGCCTGGGTGAGGATGTGGTATAAGGTGGTCTGGGTGAGGATGTGGTATAAGGTGGTCTGGGTGAGGATGTGGTATAAGGTGGTCTGGGTGAGGATGTGGTAAGAGGTGGTCAGGGTGAGGATGTGGTATAAGGTGGTCTGGGTGAGGATGTGGTATAAGGTGGTCTGGGTGAGGATATGGTAAGAGATGGTCAAGGTGAGGATGTGGTATATGGTGGTTAGGGTGAGGATGTGGTATAAGGTGGTCTGGGTGAGGATGTGGTATAATGTGGTCTGGCTATATCAAACTGTGTTAATATGACAAGAGATCTGAGTATGAAATATGTTCCTATTAATATTGATTGTTTTACACTAGTTGTAAGTCTGTTTACAATCAAATTTAATAAATTAATCGATTTTATTTTAACTTTGACATTTAAACTCCAAGTGTTACATCAACTACTTTTACTGTCGTTATTTTTCCTTGGAGATCAGCTAACACAAAGTAAACTGAAATATCTGTAGCCTTAAAGATCCAACATAATTTCCTACCAATAATAAAAAAAAATTTTTTTATATCAAATGAAAAAGGGTGTTTGGATGAGATGAAAAACAGAGGTCCTGTCTACAGTTCCACAAGAGAAAGAGAGAGAAATGGGGTTTAACATCCACTCGACACAAACTAGGTAATTTCGGGACTAACATATGGTTTAATTTTATTTCAATTATTCGCTTGCGCGTAGGGATCTTTAGCAACTGGAGGACCCGGAGAAAACCCATAAGGTGCAATAGGCAACCCTACTCCTTGTCACATACAACCAGGGAATCGAAACCACGCCAGTTGACTCAATGACAGGCCTTATGATACAGCGCGCACACGCCAACCATTTGGCCATCCGACCCCCCCACAGTTCCATAAAATTTCCCTCATAGAACAATGCATTGAAAAGTACACTTAGTCGATCAGTCTCATTTCAGAAAGGCCATGGTAATTTCCGGAAGCATCAAAATGTCCTTATTCCTACCAAGTTTCAACCTGATACCTCAAATACTAATGGGGATACTCCATCTTGAAAGTCAAAAAAAATGCTGAAGAAAACTTGCAAGTTTTTTATAATAAAGCTAATCAAGCAAAATTCCAAATTTCCTAAAAACATCAGTCAGAACCCCTATGGAATTCGTCCAAAGAATCCAAAAATGAAAACGCGACGAAGATCCGTTGAGAAACAACCGAGATATGGGCAATCTGAAGTTATTTTTTGTCCCATCCGTTAAACATTTCCTGTTTGTCAAATATGCCCCAATTTATATTTAATAAATTGCTCCACAGAGGTCAACAATATCTGCACAGTTTTGGCAGCAAACTCTTACTAAAATCCACAAAAATTTTGAACCTACTAAACACATTTATATATTTTCACAGCATGTGTGAGTGCCATATGTACTATTTGATAATCTTGAAAACTGTATGTGAATCCATTTAAAAATACATCTTCGATTGTACTGGTGTCCAATTGGCTAGGCCTACTAATAAATTGGTTAATTTTACCGGTGTCCCAATGTCTAGGCCTAGTAATTAATCAGTTTATAGTACCTGTGTCCCAATGATTGACTGAATGTGAATCCATTTAAAAATACTTCATCGATTGTACCTCGGTCCCAATGGCTAGGCCTAACAATTAAAATCGATTAATTGTACCGGTGTCCAAATGGCTAGGCCTACCAATTGAATGATTGGTTGCACCCACCTACTAATTAAAACATGAGGCTTACCTGTGTTCTAATGGCTGCCAATTGCATGCTCGCTACACGAATTTCGTTTCTTTTCCGACACATATCCTCTTGAGTTTCATAAACTTTGGCATATTGATGATTTGCTAAATTTCTGAAAAAAAGAATTTAAACGAGAAAAATTAAACCACATACCTGATTAGAATCATCACCTCCGTCTCCGGAACTTTTGGTGCGCTGTTTTTGTTTTACGCTACCCGAGGATTTTAACTTCCCCTTCACACTTCCAGATCGCGACTTCATACTCCCACTTTTTGACTGTCGTTTGGGAAGCTCAGTGCCGCTAGGATCGGAAATTTCTCCCATTTCAACCGCAGAATTCGAGCCACTAACAGGCATTGGCAAGTTTTTTCAAAACACAAAAAAAACTTCAACAGGTTTTAAAAATGTGAAAGAAAACAAAACCCCTTTCACTTTATAATAAATCCTCCGTTTAAAAAAAAAAAATTCACAAATGGATGTCAGACGATTTTTATATATTTTCAGTAAATAATATAATCAATTCATGATAATTATAACACTGCGAACATTAACAAGATGTCTATACTACTTATATATTTGAATAATCCAATAGGTAGTAAATGTTTGTGTATAGTGTATACTATATCCTAGATGATATGAACCAAGTGTTGGGTAGTACAGCAGAATCTAGAGTAAAATAGCCAATACATATCACTACTACATCTCCTACTGTGGTATACGTCGTATATCACAGACACGAGCTAGTTGATTAAACTGCAGCACAACACCACTTGTTGTGGTAGTGGAAGTTGTAACTCTAACTCAGCAGAAAGGCAAGGTATGGAATTCCATCTGATCCAGGTATATTATTGAATAGTCATGCACGGTATCACATTAGTTAAACGGAGATCTTAATAATGATAGAGAATTACATGATAAATAAGTCTATAGATACATACATACAAACACACTACAATCATTTGCTTCTAGATATTAAAGGGGCATTATGGAAGATTAGATAAAGAGCTGGCGGTTCTCGCTATAATAGTTAAAAACTAGATAATGTAAAGGGAATATGCTTAAAATTTCAGTCAAATTGCTCCACTCTGAACCAAGATATTAGCAATTGAATTTTCGGCCTAGCCTCGATCATCATTACTAAAGTCAGTACAATAAAAAAAACATAGTCTCGATTATCCATTTTTGGATTTAATCATCAATGAGCGTTGAGCAGAAGATCAGATTCAAATCTAGTGAAAATTCAATGCATAAGATGGCACCGAGAGTTGACTGAGGTCTTTTCATGTTAATAAATGTCTAATTAATAGTTTATATAACATTCCAGGCCTAAAAAAAGACCACCCAATCTTATTAAAAAAAAATACTTGATTCACTGAAAAACACCACTGAGGTGCGCACATGCCAACAATTCAAGAGGATATCTAATGGGCAGCTGTAATTGTCTGTTCAGCAATTATTGTAAGCAATTATTACCATCCCGACAGACTAAGAATAAAGGTCAAATATAAAAATATTTTCATCGGATTATTTGATAATTATTCATACTTCTACTGAATTTACATGCCATCTTGATCTCTTTGTGTGAGAGAGAGAGAAAGGGGGGAAAGACTATAGTTGTATCTTTAAATATATTTAATCAGTTGTAGAGAGAGAGAGAGAGAGAGAGAGAGAGACTAGTTGTATCTTTAAATATATTTAATTAGTTGGAGAGAGAGAGAGAGAGAGAGAGAGACTATGGTTGTATCTTTAAATATATTTATAATTAGTTGTAAAAGGTACTGGAGCTGAATATGTTCAGCTGATAACCATATTGTCATATGTCCTGTATCTACTCAATCAATATCAAACAATGTAACATTTTGAATTTCATCAAATTCATCTGGTTTGGTTTTCTTTTGTCTAAAATATTCAAAAAGGATGTGTTAGATCACTTGGCTTGATTTGATTAAATCTATATACTGGTAAATAAAATGAAAATGAAATGAAACGGGGTTTAACGTCCTGCTGTTCTGCTTCTGACTGGGCTAGTGAAGCGTTTACAGAACGGTTTCCGTCATAGGCGTACAGGGAAATTTTTGACTGTGGGGGGGGGGGGGGGCGGTGGTGTTTGGTGCCCAAATAATGTAGTTAGGTTCTTAGTATGTTACATAATAATAATAAATTCGCTGTTAAATTGGACACATTCAAGAAAACAATATTTTTTTATACAACTGTGTGCCCAAATTTTCCCAGCATTTGGTGCCCAAAATGGGGGGGGGGCCGCCCCCCCCCCCCAGTCCCCCAGCTCGTACGCCTATGGTTTCCGTAGTTCAATAGAGAAAACTTGAAAAGTGCAATAGAAACTTCTGTTTTAGCATTATCGCGCTATATAAATAGAAGATTATTATTATTATTATTATTATTATGAGTATACGTCATACAGTGTTCTATTAGGGGAATTTTGCCTGGACAGCGGCAATATGGCCTACTCTTATATCCAATTCCAACTGCCAAGGGATCTTTTACGTGCACACCAATGTGTAAACAGGACCTAATTTTATCGTCCTATCTGAATGACTATACGTTGTCCACTGCCAGGCCCTCTGTTCTGTACCACTGACAAGGGGAAACCACCCTGGAAAATCTGGATGAACTTTCTCGGTCCAATGCAGGGATCGAACACCTGACCTTCAGGTTAGTTAGCCATTTCTCTACATAATCTAGGACACAGACTCCTCATCAAATCTCAGTTCTCTACACTATCTACGATACAGATCCCTCATCAAATCTTAATCTCTAGCTTCTAGTTCCCTATCCACAAACAAAACCCCAATTCTCTACACTATCTACGATACAGACCTCTCATGAAATCTCAATTCGGGGGCGGGTCTGGCCAAATGTTAAGTGATTGTGCGCTATTATAAGGTCTGTCAATGAGTCTAGTGGCATGGTTTCGATTCCCCAGTTGTATGTGACAAGGAGTAGAGTTGCCTGTCTAACCTTTCTCCGGTTTCCTCTCACTACTAAAGACCACTGTATGCAAGCGAATTATTCAAATAAAATATAACTATATGTTCGTCCTGAAATGACCTAGTTTGTGTCGAGTGGATATTAAACCCCATCCTCCAGTTTCCACCTACTACTAAAGACCCCTATGTGCAAGTGAATTATTGAAATAAAATTGAACCATATGTCAGTCCTGAAATGACCTAGTTTGTGTCAAGTGGAGTTAATATCTCTCTCTCTGCCTCTCTCTGTCTCTGTCTCTCTCTGTCTCTCTGTGTCTGTGTGTGTGTGTGTGTGTGTGTCTCTCTCTCTCTGTATCTGTCTGTCTCTGTCTCTTTCTCTCTTGTCAATTACAAACAAAAATCAATTAAGAAAGATAAACAACGGAAGCTGATATAAATTTGCTGCCTTTACAAATGATTAAAGCTCGTTATAAATTATTGACGAGTAATTATGGATCTACGGACTATTGACATACTTTCTGTCTCTTGTCTTTTATTACTCGCTGCATTTTTTATGAGTTCAATATTGTTACTACAAGGTAGAATGGAGGCCATACTAATATCATAACACCATAAAAACAAAGGGTGTAGAGCCGGAGCCACACTAATAACATAACACAATGGGAACAAATGGAGTAGAGGAGAGGCCATACTGATATCATAACACTATAAAAACATATATATAGTTAAAGGCTTTGATCTTCAATATCACCAGTGGTGGAAGTTGAGGTAAAACTCGAGGAACAAACATAAAGGCTTTTCCTTCCTAGAACCATTTCACTGTCATGTACTTTGTTTATTTATGTTGTGTATAAATGAAATGAAATGAAAAAGGGTTTAACGTCCTACTGTTCTGCTCCTAAACTAGGCTAATGAAGACGGGCATACGCCATACAGTGTGCAATGAGGGAAATTTTGCCCGGGCAGCGGCACTATCGCCTACTCTTATATCGAATTCCAACTGCCAAGGGATCTTTTACGTGCATTCCAATGTATACACGGGACCTCGTTTTTTCGTTTCATCCGAAGGACTAGACAGCTGTCCTTGTCAGGCCCTCCGTCCTGAATCACTGACAAGTGGGAACCACGCTGGAAAATCTGGATGAACTTTCTCGGCCAATGCAGGGATCGATCACCCGACCTCCAGGCTAGCGAGCCAGCGTCTTACCCACTTAGCCACGTGATCCCCATGTTGTGTATAGGTTTCTGGCATAATCTTTTGTAGAGAGAGAGACACAGAGAGAGAGAGAGAGAGAGAGAGAGATAGAGAGAGAGAGAGATTAAGGTCCACTTGACACAAACTAGGTCATTCTTTTGTGGTGTTATTAAATATTCAATCTAAACTCTATTTTTGAGTTCACAGGATGTTGCACTCGATAGCATCACAGTAAGGGCATGAAATGAGGTGTAATGTCATTTTGAGTCCAACATATAGTTATTTTGAGACTAACAGATGGTCATTTTGAGACCAACATATGGTTATATTGTAAGACTAACATATGGTTATATTGTAAGACTAACATATGGTTATATTGTGAGACTAACATGACCGAGCATGAGCACATTCAAGTATAGACAAACCTATATATATATATATCTATGCTATCCAGGTTTTAGATCCCTAACCAAACACAAAATCTCTACATTATTTAGATTCTAGTTCCCTAACTAATGAGCTACCAAGAAACCCTTCCCAATACGACTCAATTCTTAACATTATCTAGATTGTAGTTCCCTAACTAATGAGCTACCAAGAAACCCTTCCCAATACAAAATCTCGATTCTCAATATTATCTAGATTGTAGTTCCCTAACTAATGAGCTACCAAGAAACCCTTCCCAATACAACTCAATTCTTAACATTATCTAGATTGTAGTTCCCTAACTAATGAGCTACCAAGAAACCCTTCCCAATACAACTCAATTCTTAACATTATCTAGATTGTAGTTCCCTAACTAATGAGCTACTAAGAAACCCTTCCCAATACAACTCAATTCTTAACATTATCTAGATTGTAGTTCCCTAACTAATGAGCTACCAAGAAACCCTTCCCAATACAACTCAATTCTTAACATTATCTAGATTGTAGTTCCCTAACTAATGAGCTACCAAGAAACCCTTCCCA